ATGCATGACTAAAATAAAACTTTTGGCAAAATACTGTTTTTACTTTAAAATCAAAACTAATAGTCCAGGGAAAGGGGTGTAAGTGGGGATAAAGTGGAAGAGCAAACAATATTAAGATTTCCAATACGACAAAGTAGTAAACTGTTACCATCTCCCGGATGAGGATTCAAGTAGTGACTGACAGAAAGGGCGTGGAAAAGAGTCCATAAGCCGCAAGGATAACCACGAAGGTATGGTTTACTACCTTTGCATCCGATATAATCAATTGATTTAAATGAAGGCAACTGAAAGATAATAAAAAAATATTACATTTCAATGAAGGATCCTTAAAGAAATAATAGGGCTGTAAGAAGATACAGATTTATTGCATGAGGCTTGGTTACATTTGAAACTTTTTAAAAAAAGTATCAGGCAATAAAAGGCTATAAAGCATTTAAGAATTTCCCAAGTTTAAAATAACCAGTCTCATTCAGCACACTACTGAAAATCTTGAATTAGCAAATGTGTCAGATAATTGAGAAACTGAAAACGAAGAGAAGAAAAGCCTAATATTATTCCCTAATCATACCTAGATCAAAGTAGGTATAGGATGCGTTATTCGTGCTCTATGTAGTTTTATATCAAGCGCAACCATTGCAGGATGAGAATGAGAATACCTGGGCTTGCTGGCTAGCATAAAGGTTTATTGGATTTGAATGGGATAGCTAGTCTTAATAAGATTCTTTTAATCGAACTTGCCTTAGCTCTACATTCACTAAACATGCTAAAATATGACCTTGAGCATAACTACTAAGCGTTTGCATATTACGCACAATAGTATAAGGACAACAGAAAATTGATTTGAAGTGAGCAAGTGGGAAAAGTCCTAGTTGAATAAGGAAGCAAAATTTATTCTAGTAAGGGCAAAAGATTTCTGTATCCGATTAATTATAATGTAGTAGTTGTGATCCAATCAAAGGTAAAGGGTTTCTGTATCCAAAATACAAAACTATATCTTCATAGAGTGGAGTTCACTATTAAATTTCTTCGCATATCTTCTTTATTTATTTTAACGCATATTATTGTATAGAAGAGACCAATTGATGTAGCTGCTAAAGCTGACTGGCAAAATTACGAAATAATTTAATTCATGTAATTTTTTAACTTGCTCACCAAAAAAGCACTTAAAAATATAATTCATATAATATTGACTCGTTCACCTCTCCTAACAACAAAAATTGAACCAATAGCAAAAATATTATTATATATTTCTACATTAAATTTTATAATGTATATAGGAATAAGAAAAGAATAGTGTACCTGGACTGCTTTTATTATGCTTCCCCATTTAACATCATCGAAAGAAGTTAAAGACAATCTGTCTTTCAATTTCCTTAATTTTTCAAGAAAGCCTTTATCGGTTGGGAAATACT